ATAATAATAATAAATATACAGTTTACCCTTCACTACATATTCACCATACCTTCTTCAGTCTCTCTCCTGCATGTCCAGAAATTGCAATGGGACTTCCGGTCGCGTTAATTTAATAATATTCATTGGAATTACCATAGCAACGGCAGTTCAGCAATGGTGGATTCACTACTAGCTTCACTACAAAGCTTGCTAACGTCTTTCTGGTACATGGATGGGACTTCACTAGATACTTGAGGCTTCTAGAATGCTACTTAATGCAATTGGTTATGGTAGTTTTCTCATATTCTTTTGTTAAAGTGGCAAGCGTGGTGAAAGAACACTAGGCTCTTCTCAACAAACGGCCGTCTTACTTCAAAAAGGTCTAGAGAGACTATTTGCTTGTATATATAAGATGTTAAGCACTCTTTCTTTCACTTTATTATTCCTAAGAGAAGAGGAAAGCACTTGTGACTTGTTGACTCTTGCTGCTGCACCCATCATCATTAAAAATGGCTAAAATTACACCTTCAGGAGACAAGTGTTCCAAACAAAGTTTTGAATTTCTTTATCTTTTTTGCATCATTGGGTAGTAAGAATTTTGTACTTTCACAAAATAAGTGAGCAAATTGTCAAAAATTGTTTGAAATTTAGATATAACCATTCAAAAAGTAAAAAAATTATCATACATACATAAAGGAATGACAAGATGGCAGCACTGACTGCCTCATCTTCAATTGGTAAATGTTCCACACAAAGTTACTCCAAATGCTGTAATATTTAGCAGGAACACAGGTAGATGGATGAAGAACAGCTACTGAAGTGCGCAAATTGATTATTCTTATTGTAAAGAAAGATATAGTCTAGTAAATGGAAATGTCCATTCCTGCCCTGTATAAAGTCAATCAGTGGTATACGGAGATAATTGCTCAGTATACTACTCCGTGTCCACTCATTTCTGGACATGGGTTTGACTGATACTAGCAGTAGAGGAGCTTGAGTTAGTACTGTCTATTAAACAAACATAATGACTTAAAATCAGATACGCATAATTACTAACTCATTGATGGGGGATAAAATGGAGGAGGTGATTTGTTGATGTAGACAATTTTTGAAGGGTCTATTCCAGTTAATTTAATAGGACAATGAAGTGGATCCTGAGCAATACCAGGTTTAGCATACACTGACATACTGCAGCTTGAGTACAATGAGTTTAATGGAAAATGATCAATTGTGGACTGAAATAACTACAGTATAAAGTAGTAAAGACACATATAGTAATGTTATAGTACAGAGTAAACTTACCTCCATTGGTTCCCTCTCAGGATCAACAGTCCATCCTAACTGTAGTTGAGTGGTTTCTAAAAGCAACAAAAGTTTTCCATTTGCATCAGCAAATTTGAAAAAGTCAACGTCATTGCCAAGCTCAGCATTAGGATGATTTGTACTAATATACTACACAGAATAACATTAAAATCATAATAATACAAATAATATGCATACTTGTTTAAGTACTTCCATATCTCTAACTACAGAATATATTGCCCTCGAGTAACCAACTTTTTTCTCTTCATGATACATCATTCCAGTATACAGTACATCATTTTGAATTAAAGCTATAATTATAAGATAATCATTGATTGTGTATCGATACTGTCACATACCTTTGTCTTCATTTGGTTTTTGTTTCACTTCATCTTGAGATGATTCATTGCTAACATTAAATGCACCTAATAATACAAAACCTCATTATGAATGTACTTAATAAATTATACAATAAATATCCTACATACCAGAATTAGACTCAACTTCTTGTAGTTTTTGATTAGAGCCACCAGTTACTGATTCTATTTTATAGATGAAACTTTATA